AAAAAAAACTAACAATAAAATCTAGAAAAATAGTTATTTAAGCCCAAATGTGTCTGTAGTACATTATTATATACCTATATTAACAGATACTTACATTTTTTTTACTTTTATGAAACTATCACATCTTTAAAGTTTTTTTACAAATTTAAATGCGATTCTTAGCCTCAACCTGACTATATAATAATTTTAAAAACTTTAAAGGTGTATTAGAAAAATTAGACTTTTTATGAGATGGTTTTGGGAAAAAATAAAAATCACATAATGCAGATGGTTCTAGCTGGCTTAGTGAGTGCAATAAAGGTAAACACTTATGGTTTTTAGTTTCAGCCTTCTGTTCAGGCTATATAGAATTACACCTCACCCTCTGTCCACTTGTTCAACTGTGCTCTTAGCAGTCTCAGTTACAAAAGGGAAACTGGCACTGGACTAATAGGAGCTTGTTTCTTTGATGACCCTCGGGGAATTTTAAGCCCCCATGTGGCTCATGATTGTATTCTTTCCTCATGGTACCAATGTTGGCGTGGGCACATACATTAACTGTACATAGGCTTTTCTTGTTTTGGATGATGTCTTTCAAAAATTAGAAAAGTTGGCAATTGTATACCATCAACACAACATGCTAATAGTTGTGACGTGAGTTTTTGCATGCCCACAAGTTTTAAAAGTCTTGAATTTTTGCCCCTTTGAACTCACCATTTTGTCTTTAGCCACATCAAATGTCAAAGGAATTTCATTCATATTTGCTTTTCATAAAAGTTTATGGATTGTGAAATCAGTGATTCTCTCTTCATTAGCTGACATCTGTGCTATTTTTTTCTGGCCTACATACATAGTTATTTTTCTTTCTGGCCCATATACATAGTTATTTCTCTTTCTGGTCCACATACATGATTATTTCTCTTTATAATCTAAAACACTATGCTGTTGATATGGTCACTGATATATTAGAGTTTACTCAAAAAAATCATTCCAAATATTTTTGTTGCTTATTTTAAATATGCAATGAAACACATTCACTATTTTAGAACAATTTTATTGGGGTACAATTTTTTATGTACAATTCAATGTTTTTTAATATAGTCACAGAGCTGTGCAACCATCACCCCAATCTGATTTTGGAACATTCCCATTTGTAGTCACTCCCTGATTCTTACTCCCATCCCCAGGCCATTACTAATCTAATTTCTGTCTCTATAAATTTACCTTTTCTGAATATTTCATATAAATAGCATCAAACAATATGTGGTCTTCATGCCTGGCTTCTTTCACTGAGCATAGTATTTTCAGGCACATCTCAATACTTCATTCCTTTTGTTGCTGCACAGTAATTCATTGTACAGATATATCACACTTTGCTTGCCCATTGTCTTAGTTACTTTCTTGTTGCTGGGACAAAATATCTGATACCCACAAGTTAAAGAAGGAATGGTTTTTTCAGCTCACAGTTTGTAGTGGTTTCAGTCCATAGTTGGCTGGCTTCAAGGTGGGTCAGCATGACAGAGGGGCATTGCAGAGGGAAAAAAATTCATGGCAGAGCAGGAAGAAGGCAACAGCAGCAAGCAGCAAGCAACAAGCAGCAGCAGCACAGCAAAGCAAGCTTCCTTTTCCCTTTTATCCCATCCAGACTACAAGCCTTTTGAGTGGTACCATCCACACCCAAAGTGGGCTTTCCCATTATCCACAGCCAGAACTATGCTAATTGCAATCAGTGGAGTAATTTAATACCACACAACTTTAATCCAAGTATCATATGCCCTACATCCAACCAGCTCCAAAAAGCTCCACCTATGAGCATATGAGGCTTTGGGGGGATATCTATATATAAGCCATAACATACACTTACCAAGTGACAAATATTTGCATTGTCTCCCCTTTTTGTTATTGTATATAATGCTTCTGTGAACATCTTCATACAAGTTTGTATAGACATATGTTTTCATTGCTCTAGGACAGATACCTAAGAGGGGAACTGCTATATCAGATGGTAAATCTATACTTAATATTTTAAAAACTGTTGAACTGTTTTTCATTTAGAAAGCTGTGTATCATTTTATATTCCCACTAGCAATGTATGAGAGTTAATAGTTTATAAGCTCAACATTTTTATTGTCTTATGATTATACCTATTTTATTTTTTTTTTATTTTTTATTTTTTTTGGTTTTTCTC